TATTTTTGTGAGAATGATATCATATTTTCTCTTGGAATTTTCAGATATTTTAGATAAAAATGCAAGCAAAATTGTCTGAAAAATTTGAGGGAATATATTTAAAATTTTTCGAATAATACCGGTTTTCATTGAAGGAAATCTGACGACGTTTGAAGGCTCTTACGGCGTTTTTCCTTAGCACGGCAGCACACTAGTGTTTTGGCAGATAAACAAGAAAAAATTTCAATACGGCAGCACACTAGTGTATTGGCAGATAAACAAGAAGAAATTTCAATCACATCATCTCGTATCATTATAGTTAAGAAACATAGTTCTTGGAATATTTTTTTAAAGGGTGAGCGACGTGAAAGAAGACAGTGATTTGGTAGAAAAACATCATTTTATGGTTTAATCAAATATTAGCACAAAACGAAACAAACATCTCTCAGTAAGTGGGATGTACAAGCGAACGTCCAGGGGTAGTTTCGCATGGTCAAATTTCCCCAATTTTTTGCGACCTAACGACCGGAAAAGTCACCCTGAGATTCTTGGGTCTCCTGGTCGGATGACGACTACAGTGACATGTTTGTTGTCAAGTAGTTTTTGGGGTCTCAAGTTGTTTCAGGCGTAACATTGCATCGGACATGGGTTTTAGGGACCGATTTCGAGGAGTAAAACATCTTGTTAAAAGTTGTAAGTGGCAGCTCGACAGTCGCCGTTCAAGCCTGCATAACTCTTATTATTTTCAACCAAATGAATTGATCTTGGTTTCATTAGAAAGCTATCAGTCTTGTCTGTCTAACAAAACCACGAAAACGCTTCCATCTATATTACTGTGGAAGTTATTGCATTTGCCCGACTGTTTTTTGAACAGATCTGTAGTTTACGCTTTAAAAAATCATAATTTTCACCATAAAGTCTTTGCAGTATAATTTTGAAGAAATTACTCTTCAAAAAATTTTGGAAGACAACAGAACTTTCATCCTTTTTGTTTCGATAGGAAGCTGTCAGTCTTGTCTGTCTAACAAAACCACGAAAAAGCTTCTGTCTATATTACTGTGGAAGTTACTGCATTTGTCCGACTGTTTTTTGAACAGACATGTATTTTACTCTTTAAAAACCATGCTTTTCACTATAAAGCCCTTGCAGTAAAATTTTGAAGAAATTACTCTTCAAAAAATGTTGGAAGACAAAACCATGGTCCAATAGGTCGCACGAGTCCCCAGAAACCGCGCCTTACGATGTTCGGTCATGATGGATGGAATAACCGATGGTGCAATCGCGACGCGGCGGCGTAAACCACTGCGACTGAACAACAGTAAAGCGGATTGACACTAATAATCTGGAGGTCAGATTGGTACACCGGGCACCCACATCAATATTATTTGATGGTCCAAAGACTATGATGAAATATCCATGGAAAGAAGTATGGTAATTGTAAGGTTTGACTATCCAATTTTGATTACCTTGTCTTTCTAATCTTGGTTCCAGGTATGTTTCTTGGTAAAGGTAATTCAAACCCTGGGTGCATTAACCATACATATGGAAGATATAGTATACAACCGTCACTAAAACGTTTACTCTCGTCCGTTCCATAAATTCGGGGCCTCAGAGAAAAGGAGCTCAGCGTGTAATGTTTTATTTTTTTTAATTTTTTTAATTTCATGGCATTTTCAATTTAAATTAAAGTACGAGAAATTGCAACATTGAGAACGTAGCCTCATTTTCAAGACCGCATTACTGAGATTGGCCTGCTTTGCTTTCAATTGAAAGAAACTGCTGAACATATATAAGTTTAGACTGAACTAAAAAAACCCATTAAACTCAATGATTCTTTAAAACAGTAATCATAGGGCATGACTTTGCTCTGATTGAAGAGTGAAAAGTTGATACCGTTCAATTTGATCAAAAGAAATCGCTGTTGCCTTACTGAGTGTTGTCCAGTTGGTTAATCGATCCATGGGAACAGAACTCCTCTATTGAACTCATTCTTCAGTTTTTTCAAAACTTGTAAAACATTTATTTCCTTATCTTATTATACGTATATTTTTTTATTCCCGGTTAGAGTCGACCTCTTTTCAAATTTTTCGTCCCGGATTTACATTACCCCCCACCCTCCTCCAATGTAAATCGTAATATAGTTAATTCGAAGATCAACAAGATTGACGGTTGAATAACATCACCTATCACGAGCCAAGTCTTAATCGAACGACCGTATGCGTACGTAATGTTTATACGTATGTTAATGTGTACGTTATGTGCGTACGTAATGCGTACGTTAAAGTGTACGCTTGTGTACGTAAGGACGTAGGCACCCAACTTCTGGGTCTTTTACTACCTTTCTACCCTCGAGTATCGCATCGTGCTTCCCTAGCGACTTTTGACTTTGTTTCATTTGTAGTGTAGTTCAAAGGTCTTTTTTCACATTTCTGGACAGAAGGAAAAATGAGCGATCCTCTTGGTGGAAGCGGGTGGTCACAATTTACAAAGGAGGTAAGTAATAGACTAAGTAACAGTAACCCACGAGAAACCCTATGGTTAGTCTATAACTTTCGCCCGTTGTCTATATATAATGTAAGAACCGCCCGTTTCGGACAACGATGTCGCTCCATTTCTTATTTGTATTCTCACTGTATAGCTTTGTCTATCAATTTCAATGATCAACCCGCAGAAACACAAATTCCGAAATTTGAACAACAGAAAAATTGAAAGTTCATTCGAAAAGTAATGTTTTCCCTTCGCGATCACACATTGGCAAAAAACACAGTTTAACACCGAAATTTACTGTTCACATTGAGTGGATAGTCAGCGCGGGGTCTCTATACTCGCCGGGGTGGCATATTTCAAATAATGCGATGTTTTAAGAACTTCACAGACATTCATTTTTCCTACTTCACCCGCCCATCATGACACCACCGCTCTTTTTCTTGGGCAACGCTAGTTCATTGATTCCACTGGTTTCCGGATGATTAGCTCACCAACCAAAGCGTGAAAAACCCTGGCCAGGCCCGGCTCACAATCAGCTGATCGGCGGCCAGTCGCACACTATTCAATTGATCCGTTTACCGCAAAAACCGCTTACGCGTCGCCCTCCCGACGTGCCACCAGATTTGGAGCTAATTGGTGCCGACAATGGGTCGGTTGCACACGGGTGTCATAAAAACGGAATCTGAAGGTTAATTCATAAAGACCGGGCTGTCTGGGGCGAAAATTGATCCACGTTTCGAGATCGCACGTTCCTGCTGAGACGTCATCATGAGAAGTGTTTTTCATGCAGGGAAAGTTGCAACATATTTCAATTTTGTTGCAACGCGTTGCGACTTTGAGGGGAGTTGGCTGTGGCTATCCCCGCAATACAAAAGTCAAACCGCTTTATGTATGTCGCAGGCAAATAGTAAAATCAGGCATTTTGTCAAATGCCTAGGCAAATAGTCAAATGCCTTGGCAAATAGTCAAATGCCTAGGCAAATAGTCAAATATTTTAACTCAGATTGAAATTCTGATTCTTTTGCTATTTTCAGATAAAATAATTCATTGCTCCTGCAAGAAAAAATTCTCAGTAAAAATTTGCAAACACAATAGTATTCTAAACAAATTTTAGCTCCTGCACACTGATCTTGAAAATGTCAGCATGTTGTAAAATACAAAATTTTTGGAATTTCAGCATTTATAAATATATGCAAAGCAATTGAAGAGGAAGAGACAAAAAGATTTCGTAGGTTTGATGAGTTATTTTTAGAAAAATAATGAAAAATCGTGAGCTCTTCGCCATAAATTCACAAAATTTTGTAGACCGTTAAAATTTGACTATCTGCTTCGGCATTTGACAAAATGCCTGCTATTTTCCTGCGACAAGTACATTTTCCTCAAGATCCTCTATGATTGTTTCAGAGGCTGTCGAAGGCTGGCACCGGCGTCTTAACGAGATTATACCGACAGGAAAACTCCCAACATTTACTTCCTACTGAAAAAGCTGAAAGAGGAGGCTGTTCACGCTGCATTGCAGATCACCAGTTGAAGCTGGTGTCGCCTCAGTTAAGAGAAAGAAAGTATCAGTCACTATCGATGCACGAATCAAGCGTGCCTTGAAAAAATTTGAGCAACAAATGACATCAGTCAAATGACAAATGCCTCAGTAATCTCGAAAAAAACCAGAGGTGCGAGTAGCTTAATTTCCAGTAAAGTTCCCATATTGTGCTATTAAACTAAAATGGTTTCACAGAATTTTTAAAGTATGCGGTATGGTTTAAAACAACGAACCAATATTTTAGACATGCCAAATTGATCAAATTTGCCAGTCCTTAGCCTGGAAAAAGTGTGAAGGAAATCATTGGTGTCATCATATCAGCCGCGCGAATAGGCTTGCGACTTTAATGTTTGGTCGCTCAACTGGACGTATTTCTGCCAAACGGAGCTATGTGCATTAACACATGAACCCTGAGACCCATAAGAATATATGCATAACAGGGCTCACGTCATAATGCACATAGCTCAATTGAAAGACTGGACTTTGTCGATCAAAGAATTTTAAAAAAAAATGTTAAAAGATGGACCCGCTGGAGACTTTGACGAAAGGGACAAAAAGACGACCAAAGCTCGAAAGCATGATTTTTGATAGGTATGGCATTTGGGAACGGGGCTTTGTTGATCGAATTCATTCGACCAAGGTTTCAATAAATTAAACCCACTAGATATTTTAACGCTGGGAAGGGAAGAGCTTCAAATGCGATTGTCAGGTGTTATTTAAGGACAGGGCTTTGTCGATCAACGACATTTGACAAAAACGTGATCATGTTTCCCGTGCGCCAGCAGCTACGCCTATTTTCTTAAGTGGCGAATAGACTCAGGCAATTTTTTTTGCGATCTGATACAGTACACTTTTCTGAGTAAAATTTGGAATATACTGCATTTGAAAAAAGGGAGCTAAAAATATTTGAGCGCAGATAATTATTGTCGATTGATATTTCAGTCGAAAATAATTGTAACAATGCACCGGTTTAAAATTAAATCGGAAAGGCCAATTCAAAAATTTAGATTAACTTTATTTTCATTTCATATTATAATTTTTGTTTCTTTTTTCTTCAAAATTTGCGAAGGGTTATCAAACGTTACGTTTCGGTGAAACGAAACGGTATACCGTGACCGTAAGTTTTCCTGTGTTCCTCAACATCCCAGTTTTTCATCAAGATCAGTCATCTTCATCAGACCGGTCATCATCCCAGTTTTTATGAGTGCATCCCAGTTTTTCACCAAGATCAATTACCATCCTCAAGAGTGCTGCCTTTTCTTTAATGTTCATCGATTTTTGGCCAATCTTCATGGGCTCTTCCAGGTTGTCCTTGGTGATAAATGCATCAGATAAAGTATCAAGTACGGTCTGAGATGCGGTCTTGATCAGATCCATCTCGCTGTTAAATAGTTTCTCCGCCTCTCTGCCCCTACGCGCAAAGTACGCTTTCCATTTGGTTAGGGTGATTGGCATCCTGCCTGTGAAAGGATTCAATTGGCTGTCAGCGCGATCCTCCACACTCTCGAACTGCAAAACATGACGTCATAAGATGTGAGGTATTAACGGTGTAGTTTCTTACGTGATGAATCACGTTTATCCGCACAGACACGAAGCAAGCACTGTCAGTAGGGTACAAGTCCACATTTGGCGAAACGGAGATGATATAACTTTTGAAGCTGTGTTTTTCAAGCCGTATCCAAATGAATAAAGATGCGAAAATTAAATTTTAAAAGTCCACAAGAAGCCTATCCTCCAAAGTTTTGAAAATGTTCAATAAAAAATAAACTGGACAGATTAATTCAGTCAAAGCTCTGTATTTAGACTACTGTGATGACCCTCCGTTCATATTAACTGTTCCTACCTGCAAATAAATTCTATGTTGACATCCTTAAAGTGTAAGCGTATAGACAAATCACGCAATTGACAGATTTAACCGATATCAGCCCAACTGTATTTGGGGCCCCATGACGGCCTTGGGCCACACCATGAAATGAGGGTTCCTTAAGTGCAATTCTCAAGTCACCACCCCCCTCCCGTGCTAGAAAAAAGGCTGCTAGGGGAGGTCTCGATCACCCTGTGTGTACTAGGACAAGTTTAAATATTTCATAAAAAGTAGCTCTGCTACTAGAGTTGTGATGAGTCAGACTTTTGGTTTAATGGCGATTGAAGGTTGGCAACACGGTTTTGTATCAATTTAAATATATGTAAAATAATCGATTCTTGGTGAGACACCTTTGCCTTGCTCAAAATCGATATTTTTTACAGATACTAATGGAGGAAAAATCGTGTTGCCAACTTTGAAGAAGCGTCACTGGTTCACAGAATTCCCTGGATGGAAGTGATACGATTCATTTCACTTTACCTGAATTATGAGTTGATCAAGCTTTTGAAAACCGGGAGCCTGTGAATAGCTGTCGGTAGAGTCGGTCAGTTTTTCCAATTCAGGATCTGAAGGTGGGAAGAAACCTATCATATTCTTAGCCGTTGCTTGGCGTTCGCAAATTTTTCCCTTGGCTTTTTTGTGGGCTTCCAGGATATTCTTCTTTGTGTAGTTCAAGCCCCGAGCTAGAGCTTTTTTCACTGGGAAGGGCAAAAAGGAAAACAAAATCAATCGACTTTGATCGCGACGGAGATCCAGGTTACGCTCCCAGTTGTTTTCTAAAATTTTGAATTCACTATGTAGATGATGAAAAATTTTACATACGGTAAACATATAAAAATTTCGATTTGGATCACTAGTGATAAGACAATAAAGTATTGACGTTATGAAAGAGTGTCGAGAATACTCGTTTTCAATGCTATCTAATGTGGACAGTTTTAACTCAAACTCAAATCAGTCTGACTGATTTTCTCGTGGAAAAGTTTTTCATCATACTTTAGTTTTTACCGGTAACTAAGTACAAAAACCTGGCTTTCCGTCAAATTCTCTTAAAGCATTGTATGAAAAAATTAGAATTACAATGGCGCTTCCACTTCGAAATCTTAAAATGGAATGATGTTCAGAGGAAAGCCGGCTCTCTTCTCCAAGATATAATTAATTGAGTGTTCAGTTCGCTTTTTCTTTTGTATTTCTTTGAAAATTATTTCTTAGTTACTCCAGAATCCAGCTCAACTCGAGAGCTTGGCAAATACTGAGAAAAAACGTCGTACGAACTTTCGGGCGTTGCCAAATTTCCTTTGAAAATGCACTAATTTCCTGGTAAACTCATGAATCTTTTCCTTCCAATTTTTCAGATAATTTTGTTTGCATTTCCACCCAAAGTCCCTGAAAAATTTCAAGGAAAAATATCCACAATTTTCCTTGAAAATACACATTATACCGGAGGAAATTTGGCAACTCTCGAATGTTTATACGGCGTTTTTCCTTAGCACGGCAGAACAAAGCTGTGCCCTGATTGCGAGGAATTCAAGAAAAAGGATGAAGAAGAAGAGGAATATATGAAAAAGGTAACGTCTGATGCAGTTAACTACACTGGGGGAGGCGCACGGATCTTCCTTGAAGCCAGTCTTTTAGTGCTACCCAGATCCCTCTTAGAGAGGCACCCTATAGACTTCCCCTCACAGGAAATTCCAAGTTCCACCCATGGACACATAGTTCTATTTCGAACTACCCAACACATTGAAGACTGCAAGTGTTATGCGACTTACACTTCGGAATGGACCTCTGGCTTTGACCCCACTTGAGGGCTTGTTCCAAGTAGGGCGCAACTTGCCCCTTGCGGTGGTCGACATCCGAAGCGATTTCCTCGTAGGTGTTTTCCAGTAATGACAGATTCATACGTGACATGTCACTTGCTGACAGACTCACACGCTTCGACTCTGTCTGCTCTGACGAGTCGTTCTTAGGGGGAACGCGTGCTCGTGCTCCCTAAAATTTCCAAAAAGACATTGTTCAACTTTTATTTTAAGACAGTGGAGAATTTGCATGCAAATTTTGGAATGATTCATCTGAAAGTGCTTAAAGAGCTGATTTCTTAATTCTTTTCTCATACGGAGAATAGTATAAAAATAGATTTCAAAGTGAATAAATTCACCGCCTAGTGAAGTCATCTGGCGACATTTCCCATTTAAACTTACGTATTTTAGAAGATTAGATCATTTTGTCATATCTTCTCCAATAATTTTTCGAATAATGAACCAAGGGTATCCTCGCGTTCAGTTCACTCAGTAGTTTCCATTTAAACACGAAATTCATCAAATTTCAGACACCTGCAAATTCTCTATTGGACGTATATTTATACTAAAATGAACTATGTACATAAGGATTGCGTCAGACATAGTTCCTTTCGGCATAAATACGTCCAATTTTGATTTGTGTGCGTGGAGAAAAATATAAAGTTGCTTGGTGTGAAATCAAAAAGTTCTGGAAATTTCCCCGTCATGCCTGATAAAAGATGCACATCCCAAGTTGGACGTTGAGAGCTCACACAGGGAATCGGAAAACTTAACAGGTTATTGTGGTTTGCTCTAATCTCAATTGATTACATATATAAAGTTTATTCCACACGTTTTCAACGCCCTGCAATTAAATCAGAGGATAGTTCATACCAGCAGTTAAGTATCCTATATTTTTCCTTAAGATTTGACGAAGCTAGAAAAAATAAAAATGCAGTGCCAAGAGGTTCATCTTTTCAGCCCTTTAAATATTTTAGATATCTTCTGCAGTCAGCTAATATCACAGAAATTTTATTTTTCTATGGACGATGCCAAATATTTGCTTGGGACACTGACGCATTTTCTGAGAGACTTCTAATTTTTTTTTTCTTCTTCAAATTTTCCGAGAATTTATTAGCAGTTTAATTGATCAGTACCTATCTTGAAATTTCGAAGGAAAATATTCTTAATTTTTTTTATCGAAAATGAAGATCGTATCGTAGGAATTTTGGCAACATTCGGATGCTCATACGGCGTTTTTTCTTGGCACAGCGGTATAACAAAAATTGAAAACGCCTTCAGTTTCCGCACATGCAACACGGATACCCTCACAGCAAGTATAGATGCATTCCACGTTGATTCCGATTGAGCTGGATTTTACAATTGAGAGCTGATTTTTTTGGCTCATCCATAAAAACACAGACCTATCTACACGATGTAGCTGATAGCGCATGTGTTGTTTCTACTAGGGGCCAGAAATAGTGGCTTCCTACTGCAAAATATCCGATTATAGTGCGCTCATCGGCAGAAGTGCCCTGCAAGGACCTTGCTCTACTTGTGCTCGCGAATGGCTTTAAACGGTCTTTTTCGTTGAACCTTCTCTTAATTTAAAAATTTATTTATCAAGAGAGCTTCTTGTTTTAAAGAGAAAATAACGTCAGAGATGACAACATGGAACAATTTCCCCTCGCTGCTTGAACTTTTACCAGGAAAAGGTTGAGAGTTCTTAATTGAAAATTTTAGATTTTTCTCCTGATGGCACGCAAGAATTAGTGTGAGTTCAACAGAACTTCCACGGTCGAGATCTTGTAAAAATTTATTCCTTTAAGGCAGTGCGAAAAAGTTTATCCATTTTTACAGGGAATAATAAAAATCTTTGAAATATCTCATAGAATTTCGACGCAATCATCCAAAAATTAAAAACTTAAGTCTTAGATGGACAAAAATCTTGCACCCTTTTGACGGAAGAATTCCTTTTGGGAATGCCAGGGAACACTTTAAACGTAGATAATTTTACCAGCGTACAGGCGAATAAAATTAAGGTCAAATGTCTCGCAAAGTTTTATAATTTTGAAAGAAAAAAATGAACATTACAATTTTAGCTGATGGTAAAGATCAGATAAAAAATCTCGTACCCTTTTTCAGTATTCAGGAAAAAGGTTGTTCAGTAGCCAAAAAAACCTTTTTGACACAAAAGAAAATAATATTAGCGACTATGTTCTTGATTATGTATGATCCTCAGTAAATCTAATTCCCAGTCCTAAATTTTGGACAGTACTTATTGCGGAGCTAGAGAACGCAATTAGGAATTTTAACTGCTATCATTTTTTTTTTTTTTTTTTCATGTGCGTGCCGATCATTACCATGGAAAGAGGAAATATTAACAGCGATAAATAAATATATCTAAATAAAATTGAACAGATTGTGGATCGTCAATTACAAAGCAGACTCCTCTATAGTTAGATTAAACTATCGCCAATTTTTTTAAGTTTGAAGATTTTCTTTTGCTACTTTTATTATAATTAGTCTAATATTAGGGTATCTAATCCTAGTTTTTAATAGGTTTTTTCAGTTTCTTTTTTCAAATTTTTCATTCAATTTCATTAACTTTTTTTCAAGCTCATCATAATCCCTAGCCGGAGGAAATGTCGAAGAGAGTCTCTTACCTCCAAGAGAAGCACGAACAGCGTCAGAGAGAAAACCACTTTTATCACACCCATGGTTACCTTTTTGAGCAACTGGTACCGCAATTAAACCTCAGGGCTCTTATATAGGGATGTTCTGCGCAGCTATGACCTTGCTTGACATCGCTGTGGAATGACTATGTCAGTTCACTCGTCAAGTTGAATAGCGAGATTTCTATGTACAGCATTTTCTGCCGTGCTAAGGAAGAACGCCGTACAAACCTTCAGGCGTTGCCAAATTTCCTTTAATAAAACACGAATTTCCTGGTAAACTTATGAATATTTTCCTCTCAATTCTTCAGATAATTTTGTTCGCAATCTCGGGTAAAGTTCCTGAAAATTTCAAGGAAAACTATACGTAACATACCTCAAAAATAAACATTTTATGGAAGGAAATTTGGCAACTCTCGAATGTTCATACGGCGTTCTTCCTTAGCACGGCAGTTCTGTAGCCACGCACGGTTTTACTGAGAAATATTACATTTCAAACCTTCTGCGTCACTTCCCAGCGCTTGATCTTGATGGCTTCATTCTTTTCTTTCTAAGTAATGAATTTTTTTTTTATTTTTGGCGCCTATTGACTCGATTACCATTAATACTGTAATTTCAGCGGAAGCACAGTGACTAGAAAAAGTATAGGCTTTCCCTCGTCAACATTTGGCATTCGTACCCGACTGGAAGGAAAATTAAAATAGAAAAAAACGGAACAAAAGTGTGTTCCGTCTTTGTACTTGTGAGTATCATCTGCGCACAGTGTCTCTTGTTATTAGAATCAAGAGAAAACATGCTTTTAAATGCTTTCGGCCGGAAGATCGTAACTCTATTCCAAGGTTACAAAATTTACTCTAAACATTTCATTTTTTACATGAATAAGTCCGCGCAATTTTCGTCCAAGTTTTTTTTTCAATTACTTACCTATAGCGCAAAATCAGAGGAGAAATACGTAGGCAAAATTATCAGTCAGAGATGTTCAAGATTCTCCAAAAATGTAGTTTTGCGAGTTGATTTGGCAACATTGCAATTTAGTTACGTTCTTTTGTGAATTCGGACGTATTCACACAAAATCGTCGAAAAGTAAAGCCCTGAAAGCTAATTTAAATCAATTTTTGGACTGAATAGACCACCAGACAAGGTGCGAATTTGAGCATTCTCATGCATGTTTCCCGACGACTTTGCGTTAAACATGATTTCCGCAACAATAGTTACTGACATTAACTCCTGAAACGTTCAACATTTTTCGTTACGTGGACACAAAAATCCCGCTTATTATGAAAAACAAAAGCTTCAGCGAGTCAAACTGGTCACTAAACTTCATCGTAACAGTCTCTGTTGTATAACAGTATGACAACCTCCGTTTCGGTGCTCGGCTTAGTTTATGCTAAGTTGACACTTTAAACAACATAAGGCTGAGAACGAACAATATTCGATTAAGTAAAAGTAAAGTAGAACCACTGAATGCAACTAATCGTGCTCATAAGTTGCTTATATTGCATACACTTAAAATTGAAGGAGCTTTGGGATTCCTTGCGTAGAGCCAAACGTTCCACTTTTATCGTTGGAAACTTCTACACTCGCGAATCGCGGCCTTTTTGAGATGTCGTGTGTGAAGTTAAAGCAAAGGCAATGAAGAACAGTGTCACTTTTGTCATCGATATCAAATAGATCTGTAGACTTCATACCTCCACGTTGCGAGGACAAGCGTAAACAATGGCCATGGAGCTTTGTACCATGATTTTTCCTCTAGATTTTATTCACAGAGCATCGAAAACTTAAAATATTTGGGCCATGTTCGAGCTCATGGTACCTATGCATTCAAAGTACAAAAATAATAATTTAAAAAAAAAAAAAAAAAAAAAAAAAAAAAAAATCTTGCAAAAAAACTTTTGGTACCTCCTCATTATGTGTCGAATAAAATAATCAGCTCTCTGATGTTTGAAGATAATGTAGAGATTACTGAATCATCGTTACGATCTTCGCCTAACTAAACGTCGCCAAACTAAACGTCGCCTAAACTATTAAAATTGAAAAGTTCTTACTTTCCGATTTTAGTCTTGATGAATTCTACTTAATCATGTCAGGCTTCATTTTCGTGACTTTGTTTTGTGAAAAAAGCCAATGCGAAAATGAGAACGTGATAAATGAAATGTACAGAAACTTCCTGTCTTGGCAGAAATAATCACCCCCTAAGCACTCTAAAATTTATCAGTTATACCTGCTGATGTTTAGGTGCCTCTTATTTTATGTCGCTCAAGAGAGGAATAAAATATAGGCCTTTCACACAAAAAAGTGAGGAATCATGAAAATTGTAAAGCATCGAGCGAGTTTTGAAATTCAATTTTCAGCGCGTTTTGAATTAGTGAGCGCTGGTGGTACCGTTCCTGGAAAAAAAGCTAAAATGCCTTTCACGAACATTTTTTGATCGGTGAGAGGATATCCTGAAATTTTCCGGTAGCTTTTTTCCATTCTCGTTACTTTTCAAAAGATAGTTCTGCGGGACGGAGAAATCGTTCGCATGACGGGAGAGACGAATGCGTCATCCGTCCATCGCATGTCAGGCCACGTCGGAAGCAAAAACTCGACGACGAAACTGCAAAAGGACGTATTTTACTTGCGATGTTTCAAAATCTCCTCACATTTTATTTCATCAAAAGAGGACAAACTATAAAACTTTATTGCTCGACATTTTCATACAGTATTTCTCGCACAGAAAAAAAACGAGGAAGTTTCCTGAAGGAATGAAGTTTTAAAGTACCTATTTTTCCAGCTGAACAAAAAAATGTCAGGAAACCTTCAGAGTTAAAAACTGAGATAAGTGTATTTGCAGTTTCATCGCCAAAAAACTTACAAAAATAAATCGAGGGTATCCCTGCTAAAAATGGTGAGTACAAATAAGTAGAAAATCAGAGTCATGTGAATAGAATTTCAACTCATATGATTAGAATTTCAACTTAAATGAATATAATTTAACTCATATGAGCAGAATTTCTCTATTCGGTTTTCGCCAACTTATATGATTACAGATTCCAACTCATATGACTAGAGATTTCAACTAGCATGAGTTCAGCGTTGAATCTACCGAGTCCGATAACTCAGAAACTAGTTACCGCATCAAAATAACCATAAGAACAAAATGTTTTTATTTTTCAAATTTACAGGTAAAGTCGGTGTCTCCTGGTCAAAAACACACTTCTGAAAAATGAAAAAAATTGAATTCATATGAGTTGAACTTTACTACTCTTATGAGTAGAATATTCTAATGATCTAAGTAGAATTTTTTCTCATATGAGTAGGATTTCTACTCATATAAGTAAGAGGTTCTACTCATGTGAGTTGGCGAATTCTGCATATCCTACTTGTCATTTTTAGCAGGGATGGTGGGGCTCTCTCTGTCTGCTCGTATCTGTAATTTCAAAATGATGAATTGACAGTTTTCAAAATTAAAAATAAATTAAAATTCGATTTTGGCTGAAAGGTCAACATTTACTTACTCTTAAATTCAAAAATATTCCATTACAGAGAGCTTTACGTATGAGAATTTTCAATTTATTTTAAAAAAATAGTTTGATGTTACATGTTCATAATTATTTGACATACTTTGAGCTTGATACATTGCAGGACTTTACAGAAACTTTGACAGCGGTTACTGAGTCCGAAAAATGCGTTCCTGAATTGCAAAGTTTAGATATCTCAGCCCATGTTTTATTTTTTTCTAGGGAAACTAATCAAAAAGTTCCCTTGCAATTTTATAAATTTTCTTAGAACGAGTGAAAGAAATTCTGGAAAAAAATTTCAGGCGAAATTGTTGGTCAGTTTTCCTTTAAAAAAATAAAATTTAGAAGGAGATCCTCAACGTAGCAATTTGAAGTAGGCGTTTTTGAGCATCAACTTTCGATAAATTTTCTTAAAAAGGGAGACGATTATTATTGTAACACAGATCTTTGAGATCTACTTACGATTCACTCCGAATTTTTCGGATATGACGATGGGTCAGAAAATTTTCCCAATTCGCTTAAATTCGAGCCTTTTTCGAATCATTATAGGTACACTATTTTTTCTGGTTCACACTACAGCCCAGTTTAGTATCAAGCTGAGACACCATTCTCAGAAACGCTGCCTTGTCCTTGCTATTCTTGAGTTCTAAGCCACCTTTTGGAGCCGCTTTGAGGTTATTCGAAATGATGATCGCGTTGGACAATGCCTCCAGGACGCTCCTTGCTGATTCTTTGATGTTGTCGATCTCAATGCTGAAAGTGGCCTGTGCCTCTCTGCTTTTCCTCATGAAATACGCTTTCCACTTATCCAAGGTGCTCGGGTCCTCGAACTCTTCAGGGGACATATGGCGGCGGTAGCGGGCTAGTAGACCTTGGAGCTGGTGAACATGGTGTCATGAGTTGTAAAATATCGAATGGGACAATGGTATTGAAAAAGGAAAGTATAAGAATTTAAGAAACACTTCTCAAGGCCAAAAGGTAAAAAATGTCATTTTCCAGAGCGTACTTAACAAACTTTCCTCAGTTTTTTTTTCATAGACGAAATCAATATGAGTCCACGTTGTCTCATTCCCTAATCCTTATGGAATTTTATTTTTCATTTAAACCCCTGCAACATTCTCAGTTCATTTTTATTTAAGAAAAATTGGAATTATTTATTGAAAAATAGAAAAAAAATCTCCCTCGAAATTCTAGCAAGAATTAGCAGCCATTCTGCCTTCAGGAAAGCTTACGTCATCCTTTGCTGGATCCCCCCTACCTCTCCGTCATCCACCGCTATATCCCTTCCACTAGGGTGGCCCAAATTTGGCAATGGAATTTGTTTGGTCTGACCCCCTAAAATTCACCCATTTGATCAAAAAACACTCTCTGCTAAGTTTCAGCCAAATCGGTCGTCACGTCATCATCTTTGTCTATCGTATTGTCTATCAATTTCAACAATCAGCTCAAACAGCTAAAAATATCTTGAATAGACATTTTCACTATTGGACGGCAGAATAGGGTCTCTCAGGGGATGCCGTTAGGTTGTCTACGACTTATCCCCTTAGTCTACTACAATCACCCGCTTCGTCACGTCATCATCTTTGTCTACAGCTTTGTCTATCAATTTCAATAATCAGCTCGCTGAGAAAGAAAGAGGATCGAGAAATGAATCCGGATCTGACCCTTGGTTTTCCGGTAAAACTACACAATTAAAATAAAAAATATGTAATGTTGTAAAAAACCTAATTAACTCGCCCCTGATAAAAATTGGCAGTAGAATCTGTGTTCCAAAATACCATAGACCTACAGCCGGCTGTAAGATTTCCAATAGCTTCTATAGCCGGCAACACAATTTCTTATAGCCTTTTATTGCCGATGGCGAATAAGCAACAGCCTGGCGATAAAGTGTATGCTAAACGTTACTAATTACGGATGCTAGGACTTAGTGAGTTTTTGGACTACCGCTCTCTTTTTGGGCCGTAGTATCTTGATTTATTTTGCGAGGAAAGCTCCGTACTTTTGAAGGATGCCTGCCATTCCTAATATATTGGAGCGCCTTCAATTTCGTATGATACTGTGCAATACCTCTGGTGTGAAATGGTTGCTTCAAGCGCCGTGGTACGCTGCAGCGCGGCGCGGCGGGCGGGCAGCCAGCGCTGAACGCGCATTGGCGCCTACAAACCTAACAGGGATACTTCACGCATTGCGCAATGCGTGTAGTATCCCTGTTAAGTTTGTAGGCGCCTGTGCGCCGCCGCTCCGCTTTGTGTTAGGCTCTAATATTTAATCTCGTGGAGTCAGCGTTTTTCAACTCATGACTTTGAAATGTTTGGACACTCTGTATGGATTATTCTCATTTTAATTGATGAAAAAAATATGTAGTAAATGAAAATATAACGTGCGTTTTGTAAATATTAAGGTGATTCCGTACAAACTTAAGGATTTACAAAGCACACGAATTTCTACACAATTTCTTATAGCCTTTTATAGCCGATGGAGAAAAAGCAACAGCCAGGCGATAAAGTGTAAAGCCCGGCGATAGGAACTACAGCCCGGCTGTATAATTTTTTATCGCTTCGTGTAGCCCGGCAGTATGATTTTTTCCACTTTCTACAGCCAGCTATATGATTTTCTATCGCCTTCGTCAGTCGGCTAAAAGAACTCCTATGGTATTTTGAAACGCAGCTCCTATCGCCAATTTTTACCAGGGCTCTGCTATCATCTCTGTGACCTCTTCATTTAAAAATTTTACGATGCAAAAGATACTTCACCTGATTCAGTAGTTCATCGAGCTTTTTGACAACGAGCCCCTGTTGTGTTCCCTTCTTGCCGGAGCTGGTCATCAGTTTAGCCACTTCAGGGTCAGCCGAAGGGAAAAGATCCAGGTACCCCTTGACCGTTTTATGATGACCGCATAATTTGTCTTTCACTTCTTTGTACGCAGCATTGATCTTCCCCTCCGCGAAAGTTAAAGACCGATTCAGAGACTGCTTCACTGGGGGATGAGAAACGACTTACATACATTAAGCCGCTTTTATAGCGCAGCCTCGCGCTCTGCGACGCCCAATCGCCATTTCCCCTTATCCTCCCAGAGACCATCAGGCAGTTACCACCTTCTGATCTCCTCTACCCCTTGAAACCCCTTTAGAAACGACTTAATTGATCAATTAAAATCGGTCATCCAGAAACTGCTGTGAGGAACTGCTTCGCTAAGGAAGAGCGCCGTATGAGCATCTAAATATTTCCAAATTTTCGGTCAGAAAATATTTATTTTTTAAGAAAGTTATGCATTATTTTCCTTGAAACTTTCAAATGTTTTAAATCAAATGATCTTAATAATTAGAATAAAAATATGTATAAATAATCCCGAAAAATGATAATGTTTCAAAGGAAATTTGGCAAGGTCTGAAGGTTCATATGGCGTTTTTCCTTGGCACGGTAGAGCAGAGGGGACGATAGAACCTCCGTAAAAAGTCCCTCTTTTAATAGTTATTTTTGGGGAGAGTTGTGGGTATTTTCCCTTCAATTTTGAGATAAACTAGATCAAAAAACGAATGAAACTCAGAGAAAAATTCGAGTAAAAATGCTCACACATTTTCGGAAAAACGCATATTTCATCAAGAAAAAATGTAACGTTTGAAATTTTAGACAACGATCTTCTTAAGCAAAGCAGAATTACCTTATCGTACCTACCTAGATTTCTCGAGACTAGAACGTCACACGGAGAAAAAAAAAGGTGATCGTGGGTTAACCTGATACGGTCATTTTGATAGTCATTTATCAATGAGACGTCACTCAGAAAAGTTTTGATCAGAGATATCTCAAAAATTGTGAATCCATCAGACTAAAGTCTTAACTACAAACAATGTTGGGAATTCAATTTACTTTTGGAAGCGTTTAAAAAGATGATTGGGCGCGGCAAATTACCTGATTTTCGTGGGCACGATGAAAAAGAGTCCGTGAGGTCGTTCATGAAATACGTACCGCTGAAAATCTAATTTTTCACCCATCTCATGACTTAGATCCCCCCTCCCCTAGATAGTCGTTTTATTTTGCATTTTGGATGGAGAACTCCCACCTCGCTTTAATTTTCCACGTCAGATTGTGGAAAAATTGGCGCCACAAACCTATTCTAGTGAGAAGAACCCGTGACACAGTTGTGCAATGCCCTGAAAAGTAAGTAACGCTCAGTCGATCCGACTCAACTCCCTTAACTTGCATTTTGTGGTGACTTTGGGGGTGAAAAAACACCTTCTCGCTTTAGAATTTCATGTTAGAATTTTGAAAAATTAGCGCCACGCGCTCATTCTAGTATTACGAAACGCAGCCCTGCACGCGTCCCTCTTCCTGTAACGCACCTGTGTCACAGGTTCAGACACCAGCGTTACGTAGAGTCCCTTTATACTGAGAGTCAAGACAATGTGAATCCATTTCTGATTGGTTCCTGTATTTTAGGCCTTCGCAGTGTCACAAACGGGAATAAAGATTCCATTTTCACCGATTGCAAAGATTATAATCTGGAATGGACCAGGGAATCACGGGTTCGGCAAGGAACAAAAGGAATGAGAGAAGGAACGGAGAAAGGCGTTTGAGAATGGGCCGATCAAAGATTACGAAAAACGTTCAATTTCTGTAATCTTTATTCCCGTTTGTGACTCCATGAGGGGTGTTGTCTTGACTCTCAGTATAAAGGGACTCTAGCGTTACGTAGGTACTTCGCGAACACCTTATTTATTTTCGATATGGAATTATAGTGCAACTTACTCTGCTGCAGATCGTCTAGAGTTTGGGCCCACGAGTTGACTTTTTCCAGGAATTTCGGGACTTGATCCTTGCGTCGATCTGCGCTGGAAGCAAGCTCTTCGTTGGTCTTGTCCAGTTGTTGCAGGATCATATCTCCCAGCTCGGTTTTCATGTCTGAACTCGACTTCTCATCCTGATGCTCTGATGATTTGTCATCAACATTCTCATCAGAGCGTGCATCAGCACGCTTGTTGGCACTCGCAACAGATTCCTTGTCAGACTGCGCATCAACACGCTTATTTGAACTCGCATTAGGTCGCTCATCAGAATGCGCATCAACACGCTTAGTGCCTCCCGTACCAGATCGTTTATCAGACTGTGTATCAACACTTTTATTAGAACTCGTGTTAGATCGCTCATCAGAACGTGCATCAAGACGCTTATTGCCACTTGTACCAGATCGTTTATCAGACTGTGCATCAACACTTTCATTAGAACTCGTGTTAGATTGCTCATCAGAATGTGCCTCTAGGCGCTTATTGCCACTTGTAACAGATCGCTCATCAGAATGCGCATCAGCACGCTTGTTGCCACCTGTACTGGATCGCTCATCAGGATGCGCATCAGTACGCTTATTGCCACTTATAACAGATCGCTCATCAGAATGCGCATCAGCACGCTTATTAGCTCGTGCATCAACGCATGCTATCTGAAATTTCCAAAATAGCATTTTAAAACCACAAATGATGGGAAGTTTAAAGCTGCAAAAGTGTCGATCATTTTCTTTAGAAATTATCCAGAGAAGCATTGACACGCCAAAACTGGCAGCTCGTGGTCAATCCTGAGGCACAGTTGGACAGCATTTTGCAATTTGGAACTATAAATTCTGGGATGAGAAAACCAAATCTGAGGAAACACGCGATTTCGCCAACTTTTTCTAAAGTGTTATTTCAATCTTTTCGTTCTCACTTTCTAGATGTTCTGGAAAAACACTTATGTGCATGGGGAAACTAATGACACATACGTTGTTTTTAAACCGGGCTATAATTTACAGCTCCAAATTGCAAAATGTAGTCCAGTTGGTCTAAGAACTCAAAATATTCAAGACTCCTGCAGCACAACGCGTTAACTTTGAAAAATGACGACTCTGCTCAAAATCGAATCCCAGGATAAAATTGGGGTTTTTTCAAAGTTTGGATAGGTACTCCTTGCAAAGTTATTCAGTTTTGTCACTCTTGTGCGATCTCTTACACGTCACAGCTCAAAATGCGAATAAGATATTGATTTCCTTTCTTAGAATAGATCACCATCAGATTCGTAATAAAATTATTTTTACTGATACTATTTGATACGTCAATATTAAAAAATTGCAGCCGTTTATCTTCCATGTGATCTTCTGCCGATCTTTCAGAAAATTCACTCCCGTGAAAAACTTATTTCCTGGAATTTAGTCTCGTAGTACCTAGCTATAGGTATCGATTTTTTTTCTTCTTCTTTTTTTTTCTTCTTTTCTTCTTTTTTTTCTTTATTGATAAACGGTATCGATACACGATCAAATTCCGAACCAATCCTGATCAAATTAGACCTGTTGATCAGGGCCGGATTTTCCTACTTGCCGCTCATGGGCCCTGTATTTTGCCGCCCCCTTCTCATTCGTTTTGAAACATCAATAAAGACCATCAAATGAACGTGCCGGAAGGGAAGGGGTGCATGAAACGCGTTTACTCGTGTTGGACACATTTTTTTGCGAAAGTCCTGTCAACACTACTAGCAAAAGTTTACGGAACTTCGTGCGAAAGTTGCGAGTTCCGTAAACCTATCCCTGTGTGGACAAGGTCTTCCATTTATAAGAAATAAAAAAACAAATTATGAAAGAATAAACATAAACGTGGTTTAATAATTTTTACTTCCGCCGCCGCGCCGCGCTGACCGTACTGTGTTGGACGCAATGCGTGAAGTATTCATGCAGTCTTGTAGGCGCTATGCATTTCTCGTCGACCGCTACTGACCGCACGGTGTTTGACGCAATGCGTGCAGTATTCATGCAGTCTTGTAGGCGCTAATATGTGTTACATGCAGATACATGCCGACCGCCGCGCCGAGGGCTTCTCCTATTCATCTCAAATCCTCGTCATCACTGCTCTCTGCGCCGCGCCGCTCCAGGCCAAATCGCGCGTTTGGTTTCTTTTTTAACTCGACTACTTGAAGGTGCTGTCTCTTGTATCACCGAAAGACGACAAAACTAGAAATTACTATACATTCAGGGAATGAGAGATTTTGTCGCCTCTTCTCGTTTGTATAATTCTTTTTCTGAATCCGTTTTTTTTTTATACCTACATTTGAAAAAATGGCAAAATTTGCCGCCATGGGCCGTGGCCCATGTGGTCACCCCCTAAATCCGGCCTTGCTGTTGATGACTGATGGTCACCATATGCAACACTCCTCTCTGATCAAAATTAGACGGGCCGTCAAATTTTGATCAGAATGGAGTGTCACCACTCATCATTTAATGCCGCATGAGACATTTCTGCTAAGTTTTCATTTTATAAATAAGCAAAGTAACGATTTTTTAACTCTCGACTTTTTGACGGTAATTGGTTCAGGAATTTGATCAAATATCGAGAAGTTTTAAGCTTACAAATCTTAAACCCACTGCACAACCACGAATCGTCGCGTCCAGCTGACTTTTGGGAATATGTTCATTTCTACGTGAGCCCTGTTTTCCATAAAGCTCCATGCTTTTTGGGGCTCATGTGGATAAGAAGATGTTCCCTCAACGTCAGAGGAGCGGCGGAATGTCAAAAAAATGCACTCACGTCCAAGAGGAGCACGGACAATGTCACTAAATAAACCACTTTGATCGCACCCATTATTGGCTGTTTGAGTAACTGGTGCCGCCTTTCATAATCCGAGCTCTTAAGTATGCATATTCCATGTGGCATGCAGATTGCGTGACAGCTCTGTCATCACTTTGGCAATTCATTTCTTTCAAACTTGTGTCGCACCTTCAGGTGGTGTCAAAATGAGTGTACCCATGCACACTGCAACGATGTGTTACGTTCGACTGTTAATTCATTGAGTGAAGGGGTAAAAAAATCACTAAAAGAAGTTTTCAATTAACACGGATTTTTTGTGAGAAGTGAAATTAAAGATCCTTAATTTTTAGTGTCACATTTGTGCGTGCCGATAACTTAGTAATCCTCGCTTTTTATAGTAAGTTTTCCTTGTTTTGCGCATGTAACTGCAAGAATTTAATCAAAACGTTCATGACCGGGAAAAGGAAGTGTTCTTTAACGATCGTGTTGTGCCCATGAACAGCTGTTAATCACAAGCACCACTATCTGGAGGAGAATTCTGCGAACAGTTTTGCAAAATTAAACTCTCAGAATGAGTTTGTTTTATGCAGAAGATATACGCATATGAATAGGTAGACTTATGCGCGGGTAAAATCGCGAGAAAATCAAAATGGGCAAATAAAAAAAGGCTTAAATTCACTTGCAGAGCGCATTCTGCCTAGTTTGAAACATGCTTTCTTAACATTTTTTGCATCTGCGGGAAGTTTTCTCAATCACTGACGACCAGGTTTGTCCAGAAAGAGGGGTAAGAAAACCAAACCTGAAAAAACACGCAATTTCGCAAACTTTCTCTAACGTGTTATTTCAATATTTTTGTTCTTTCTTTCCAGATGTTTTGCAAAACAAAAGCTTTAAATCGATCGCGAGGAAACTTTTACCAGTTTGTGAGATCATTCGTTTGTCTAGGTCAGATTTTCTCAAGTCTCACTGCGTGGAAATCTGACTGCCGATCGATGAGAAAAGCTGCCCGGAGGTGCAAATCTGACTGCCGGCCGATAAGAAAAGCTGCCCGCAGGCGCGATTAATTTGAAAACTTCCCAAACTACGCATATTGCGCGCAAAGGAGTAGATTTTAGACTTTTTTATGCGCCAGAACTGGCCTGAAGTGATTTTATCTGGAGAAAGTCTGTTCACATGTGGTTGCATAGTGTTGTTTTTGTTCGGAGGTGGAACACTGTAAGCGCAAGGAAAGGCAACCCGCTTTCAGTTTATGCCTGGGCGACATAAGCAGATGCGGACCCAGCAATTTGGCAACACCGAATTCCCTTCATTTAAACCTATGTTCAATAATCGATTCTTGTCGGAGCACCTGGCCCCTACAAGAATCGATATCTATTCATTGGTTTAGATGGAGGGAAACAGTGGTGCCAAGTTGCTGGATCCGCCAATGAATTCCTGGCAAAAATTGGCGATAGGAGCTGCGTTTCAAAATACTATAAGAATTCTTATAGCCGGCTAAAGGAGGCGATAGAAAATCATATAGCTGGCTGTAGAAAGCGGAGAAAATCATAGAGCCGGGCTATACGAAGCGATAAAACAGTATGAAGGCGGGCTATAGTTCCTATCGCTATACACCTTAAAATTTACAAAACACACATTATATTTTCCTTGTAATACATATTTTTTTTAATCAATTAAAATGAGAATAATCCATACCGAGCGTGCAAACATTTCAAAATCCTGAGTTGAAAACGCTGACTCCGCCAGATTAAATATTAGAGCCTAACACAAAGCGGAGCGGCGGCGCACTGGCGCCTACAAACCTAACAGAGATACTTCACGCATTGCGCGACGCGTGAAGTATCCCTGTTAGGTTTGTAGGCGCCAATTCGCGTCGCAGCTTGCCACGGCACTTGAAGCAACTATTTCACACCAGAGGTATTGCACAGTATCATACGAAATTGAAGGCGCGCTAACATATTAGGAATGGCAGGCATCCATAAAAAGTACGGAGCTTTCCTCGCAAAATAAATCAAGATACTACGGCCCAAAAAGAGAGCGGTAGTCCAAAAACTCATTAAGTCCTAGCATCCGTAATTAGTAACGTTTAGCATACACTTTATCGCCTGGCTGTTGCTTAATCGCCATCGGCTATAAAAGGCTGAAAGAAATTGTGTAGCCGGCTATAGAAGCTATTGGAAACCTCACGGCTGGCTGTAGGTCTATGGTATTTTGGAACACAGATTCTACTGCCAATTTTTACCAGGGTAACTAAAGCGGCTCCGGATCACGATCAGTTGCATCGAGGCGCTCCAGTCTAAATGGTTATTGGTATTGTAGCCCGCGGGCCGATTATTGAAATTGATAGATAAAGCAATAGACAAAGAAGACATAGGGAGTATAGAGCGATCCTATTGGTTGACATGATTGGATCTTACAGTCTAAGGAAGAAAATGATGGACTAACTGTCAGGTTTATCGTGGGTTGCCGTTAGTTAGTCTATTACCTACCTCCCATGTCGATTGCCCCCACCCACTTCCACTAATAGGATCCCTCCAAATCCCTTTAGTCGTCTTTGTCTATAGCTTTGTGCTATCAGTTTCAATAATCGGCCCGCGGATGTGGTAGCTCATCCTATGTGATCATCCTTGATCATCAAAAGTGATCAAGGCGTCAACTTCTTACATTTATATCATGTCGGGGTATCATTATTTTTCTTTCATATCTCATGAAAAAAGAAATCAAAGCAAAACAAGTAAAACAAAACACAATTTTTATTATTCAACAATTCAAAGGCAACAGTATTATTCGAACATTCTGCGCGTTTTCTTTAATTTAAAACAAACTTTGAAAAAATAACATTTGGAGCAAATTGCTTCGTACATAGTAAGTGCTACTGCTACGTTCATAAAAACTGTCCTCTACTTCCATTTGGAATTCCAATGGATTCATTATTTGATACATCTACAAGGAAAAGTCATTCCATCTCTTTTACCGCCACGAGGACTCAGAAATTCGGAAATGGATCGTTTAAAGAAGAAAGATATTGAAATAGGTATCATCATCTGCTCCACACCCTGATAAATAAAAAAAACCGCTCAGCACCTGTCTATTTCAGGGTATGAATTACAGATATTGAAAACTTGTGCTCGGCGTGCCCCAACTGTGCAATTGTCAATTTTAAACCCAAAAAAAGGTACCGTGGCCAGAAGCCACCTCTCTATTAGAACAGTCCCACATTGATTTATTCGAGTTTATGAGTGTTAAATGTTTTATCACCTGTGTTGCCTTCTCCAAGTGGCTACAAATAACATTAACTCCTACCAGCACATTCTCAGATATTGAAAGAGAACTACTTGGTATTTTTGCGATTCTGGGTCTCCCCAAAATTTTAGTAAGCGACAATGGTTGACCTTTTGACTCCACCGACTATGAAATTTTCTGCACAAAATGTAACATTCAAAAATTACATTCACCGGCCTATTATAAATATGCCCAGTCTGGCAACTTTTGCAGCAGACTTAGGTCTCCTTTGAAGATTTTCTTCTACATTCCATTTCGTACAACCTAGTTTTTGTTGCCGTTATAATAAATTTACCCAGAAAAATGCCTTTTTGCACGGCCCAGAATCAAATGGCCTAGCCGAAAGGGGGGCCCAAATTGCGAAAAGGGGTCTTGAAAAATGTTGCTGCCCTACGAAAACTCCTTAACCTCACACAATTCATCGGCCAACTTGTTACTCACTGTCAGCAAATTTTTATTTTATTATCGCAACACGCCATCTACGCTATCTGGATAGTTTAGTACTTTTGAGGCTGAAAGCTACGTAGACATGATACATTGGAAGGATACTGTCCTCACATCTTCAATTCTAAGAAATGTCTCCTCACAATAGATTTATGACTATTTATCTCAAGATATTTCGCCGAAGCTACATATTCCAAAGTATCCTGCTCACACCCAAAGCGTTGAAAGAATCGTTCAAGAAGTATCAAAGGTCTCGAGTCAAGTTAGTGGATTTAATGCCCGACACAGCTTGATCCAAAACAGAATTCTACATCGGAAAGAAATGCAAAAACTAAGAATTAAGGCAGATTATAAAGCTTCGAATTAGGACATTCATGTCTCCAATGGTTGGGAGGCACGGAAGGGACGCTATGCGCAATCACCTCGACCCTTTGCGCCTCTCCTGTTCTAGCTTCTGATGTTTTTGCGGAATGCGTATGTTAGCACCTCCAATTACTTCCCGCTTCTTTTTATTATTTTAATTGCACTTTATTAGCCTGTGATACTACTTTGCCACGCATACGCGTAGTAAAATTGTCTAGGTAAAGAAAAAACCGTCGCGACGACTCGGAAATTACCAAAGAAAGCTAATGCTCTTTTAATATTGTGTTCAGATTTTATCTACATTTTATCCACATTTTAACCATTTTTTACTGCCTTTTAACTTTGAAACAACATGATATGTCATCAGTAAAAGAGCCGCCCTCTTACGCCAGAAATTATCAGCCTAGATGATTCGTTTAAACTTGCTGCAAATTTATCAACTGAAGGATCTCATGTTTTAATACCTCAGCCCCCCCCCCCCCCCCCTCTCGATTTTTTCAATCTTCCAATGCATTCAAACAGATTATTAGACATCAAGCCTCCTGTGTATGCACTTCCAAAGAAGCGGGAAGTAATTGGAGGTGCTAACAGCATAAGTCGATTGTTCATATTAGATTTTGACTTTTCATTCGTTCCATTTTTCCTATGCTCTCCCACAGTTCGCGCCGTCGCGGCCGCCACGAGCCCCGCGACAAGGTGCCGAAACCCGCTCGCTCATCTATTGGCTGAGCGAAAAACTGTCATCTGTGAATCTGTGCGAAGTTCTCGGGATTTGTGCTATTGAACTCTACATGGTGTACCTACTTACCTATTAGGTAAGTAGGATCCCAAGATGCGTTCCCAAATGTCGCGATCGCTTTGCGTTTGTATTGCACTTTGCCGACAACCTCCGCTAGCTGTGAACGCAGTTTTAGTACGTTAAAGCTCATCAAAAATTATTGGCGTTCGACCATGTCGCAGGAAAGATTGACAAATCTGGCCATTCTGTCAATCGAAAGTGTAGTTGCCTACACGGTTAATTT